TCTCTCTCTCTCTCTCTCTCTCTCTCTCTCTCTCTCTCTCTCTCTCTCTCAGACAGGATCTCTTGTATTCTAGGTTGACCTCAAATTCACTGTTTCAGAGGATGGCCTTGAACTTAAGATCCTCCTGCCTGTATATCCCAAGTGTTGAGATTACAAGTGTGTGCCACCATACCAGGTTTCTATGATGCTGGAGTTAGAACCCAAGGTGAAGTACTTGCTAGGCAAATGCTCTATCAACTGAGCTGTATTCTGTGCCCATGTCCAAAAGTTATTTTTTCTGTGGCCATAGATTAATTTTGCTGCCAGCCATTAAGATGAAGTTTAATATGTTTCAATATTTTCATCCAACAAGCTTTTAATACAATGCAATATTCATAATAATAAAATATATTGAAATATATTAAGATATAAATACATAATAAAATAATAATAAAAGCAAGAGCTTTTATTACTTCAGCTTTTCTTATGACTCAGTAATATTTAATTGTATGACCATAATGCAATGCTTCCCACTCTTTGTTTAATGGACCTCAGTTAATTCAGTTGCTCTCCATTTCTGGCTATGTGTGCATGTGTGTGCATATGCATGTAAGAGAAATGAGTGCAGGTATAGTCACCTATATATGCACATGTGAAGATAGAGGATTTTATTCTTATTGCATATTCTTTCCAGGTTTTAGAACACAATACCCAAGGTGAGCAGTGAGTTCTCCATTTTGCCGAGAGCAGAACTCTAATATCCCTTAATCCTGCATGTTCTCGACATTCCGTTTACTATTTCTACTCTTTGCCAGCACTCCTTGGTTGGTGCTGTAGAGTTCTGCTTTGAATATATGCAGTCTAGTTGTAAGCAACAGATCCCCCATAGAACCTCCTAGAGTGATCTCTGTGAAGATAGTGCCTTTTTGGTTTATATCTAAATAATTTTAGTAACTTCTCCAGTCCTGAGGTCTCAACTTTGCCCTCTTTATCATGAGGAGATCCTTTCGCTATGGGCCCCACCTTCCAGTTTGTATTGGTGATTCTTCTATCATAGTGATAAAAAAACATGATCAAGTGTTCAAATACCCAAGGGAAAAATTCTCACTGACTCCACCACAGTAGTTTAGAAAAATGTGACTAGATATGCCTTAGCTCTGACATTTTTTTCTCACCTGCACTGATAGCCATTGTCTAAAAATAGTTGTCTCACATACAATCACGGTTTTGAGATTTTCAATGTAAAAAGAATATGCCCTTTGGTAGTTTATAAATCCTGGTGAGATGTAAAAGCCAATCAACACTGAAAACATTTAAAGATAATCAATATAGTAATTGCAGCTGGGAATCCCGAGGAAACAATGCTGCCTTTTATGAGTACTTCTACAAGCACATCTGCAACATGCATCTGCTGTATTTAGTTCACTCTTTATTAGTCTCTGCTTCTTCAAATATCCTGCTTATTCACGCACAAACCACATTTATCGTTAAAATTTATCCTGGCTTGATGTTCAATTCTGCACAAATTCTCTCAATACTAATTTCTCAGTGGTGTTGCATTGTTTTTGTAGACACTGAAGGACTGTTCTTTGCTTTTATTCTATTTGTTTTATTTTGATTCAGTCTTGAATCAAACCCGTTGTTTAAGCTGATCTCAAATTCACTGTGCACCCCCTGTCTTAGATAGATTTTCTCTTGCTGGGATAAAGATCTTGAGCAAAAACAACTTGGGGAGGAAAGACTTTATTTCACCTTATAATAAGCTGACTTATTTCAGCTTATAATCTATCATTGGTGGAGGTCAAGGCAGAAACTCAAGCAGCTACCTGGAAGCAGGACCTAAAGTAGAGATTATGGAGGAACACTGCTTACTAGTAGCTCCCCATAGCTTTCTCAGTTTGCTTTCTTCTGTCACCCTGTACCCCCTCTCCAGGGATAACACTGCCTACAGTGGGTTGAACCCTTCTATGTCAATCAGTAACCAAAAGATACCTTGCAGCTTACCTATACGCCAATCTGTTGGAGACATTTTCTCCACTGAGATTCCCTCTTCTCAGATGCCTTCAGTTTACATTAAGTTGACAAACACTAATCAACACACCCATGCTGGCTTCATATTCAGAGTGCTCAGGTGGTTGTTTTTTGAATGGTCGCATTACAGGTGCTATCTTCCACCCTAGACTGTATGTTGTTTTTCATGCTATTGTACTTATACTTTTCTCTGAGCTTTTCGCTGACATAAAAATGTTTATGAAATAAATTTATTTCTTAGTCCTATCCTTTTCTATTTGAAAGTAGACACTATAGAATATCTGCCTAAAATATGGCTGTAGCTTTATTGTATCCCTATAACAAGTACATTAATTTTGAATACTTGATTTCCTGAGAAAGACTATATGCACCTCTTTTCAACTATGGTGCCTAGATCATAATTCCACTCCCAAGGCTGGTCATAAGAACTAGAATTACTTGTCTCCAAGACAGGTCACAGAAACTCTAATCTTGTCCTTCTTTTCTGTCTTGAAGATGATCAGAAATAAATTCCCTGATCTCTCAGAGAAGACCATGTGGCTCTCCTTATCAGCAAAGTCTTGACTCAAGCCCTGAAAAGAAAAGTGGTACATAGAAAGGTTAAGGTTATAGAGATATCTTCAGACCTCCACAAATAGCATTAGATCACACCCTTTGCACCCAATGCTAGTTTTACACATACTTCAATTACATCTGTGAAATTAATGTGGTCCATATTTCAATCACATCTATGCAATGGAGGTTTTATAAAAGATTCAAAGGGGACAGGAGAGATGGTTCAGTAGTTAAGATAAGTACTTCTCTTGAAAAGGACCCACAATGGTGTGCCAGCAGCCACTTTAGACAGCTTACAATTGCCTGTAGTTTTCACCCCTGACCTCCACAGCCAGCTGCACTTACATGTACATACGACTAGTGGACACACACATCCACATAATTTTTAAAATATATATCCTTAAAACCTGAAAAATGAAAAGTTTGGAGAATTTCTAGGGAGAAGAACACATAGAGGTCCAAGGGGGACAATGTACCTGGAAAGGTCCTGTTCCAGGCAGTCCACACAATGACATTCTTTTTCTGCATCTATTGTGACATCAATAATGCCAGGAAATAAAAGTGTTTTCCTAAGTTCTGTGAGTCACTCCAGGGAATGAATCAAAGAGGAGATCCTAGGAACTCTAATTTATCGTGAGCCAGTCAGTAAGAAGAAAAAACAAAACAAACCCAGAGTTTTAAACAGCAGCTAAAGGGGTAGGAGTGGGGGTTGAACCCTGACTGGTGAGATCTGACACTCTCTTTAGGTACACAGTGTCACAGTGAATTGGATGGCAGGACACCAGCTGTGGCCCTTTGCAGAATGAATTATGTGCTTGCTGGGGAGGATGAATTCCCACACCTTTTTTGACCATGGGGATCTTCTCATTGAAGTCTGTGCTGGTGGCATAAGAGCAAAGAAAAAACACCTTCCTTTTTCTGAAATAACTGATAATTGGAAATTTCATATTTTAGCCTCAAGATCTTACCTTTTTCTAAAGAAGAAAACAGATAAATTCCAACCAAGCAACTTGAACCAATATTCTACCCTAACTCAGAAATCCAAACAGTAATTCCTTTTCTACTTTCCAAAATATTTTGCAATCCAACTAAAAGCCAAATTTAAAATTATAGAATGTATATTATCATTCCCTATTCCCTATTATTTATTTTACTTTTGAATTATTTCCCTCATCCATTCTTTTTCCTATTTCTATTTATCCTATCCTAGTTGAAACATATTGTTACTTTCAGAAGAATTAACGCAGTAGTTTTCTAAATTTATACCTCCATTGTTGACATACTGCTAAAGGTAAATTTCCAAAGTAGATTTCTAATGTCATTTCATACAAAACCATTTGTTAATTCTTCACCACTTTGGGGAAATGGAACAAAAAAGAGCAAGTTTCTAAACATGGCTTTGAGGCTCTGTACCTGCTATCTAGAGTTCCTTTCGAATCCATCTTCGACTAGCTTTACTTGTCCCCTCTCTTGGGATGGCATCTTCTTGTCACCAGCTATCACTCCTAACTTTTGCTATTGAGAGCCATTGTACTCATCACAATGCACTATGTATTTGGAGAGTCTACTCTCAGTTAATTGACTCCCCATCACTCCCTTTAAAGAACTGCAAACAGACTTGCTTGCCATCCTTCAACTTGGTTAAACTGATCATCTTCAACTGAAATTTTTGCCCTTGTGCATTTCCTGACATTTTCTTCATTCAGAAATGCCTCTCATCTGCACATGCCTCCCATCTACAACACTGCAGTATTTTTAAATGCAGCTTGTCCATGACCTTCACTCTCTTATCTCAGAAAACTGTCACAATGTTTACTGAATTTCAAAGTGTGCCAGGTAATGTGCTAATTACATTGTAGACTTTATTAGTTACATTCTCAGAATACAAGGACTATTATTTTATATATTTCATATTATAATAAGAATCCAGAATTCACTTCTAGATGATAGATCTTTGAAGAATAGGGTTCATAAAAAGTTCAATTTTTCTCTTTAATATCATTTTACTGTACAGCATGCAACTTCTGAGCTGAAAATAATTTGTCTTATGATGTAGGAGGGCCATCTGTCTATGTGTTACTTTTACTAGTTAATAAAGAAACTGCCTTGGCTTTTGATAGGACAGCAGCTTAGATAGGCAGAGTAGACAGAACAGGATGCTGGGAGGAAGAAAGCAGAGTCAGGCAGACACCATGATTCTCCGACTTGAGACGGACTTAGGTTAGAATCTTCCCAGTAAGCCACCACCTTGTGGTGCTATACACATTAATAGAAATGGGTTAATCAAGATGTGAGAGTTATCCAGTAAGAGGCTGGAGCTAATGGGCCAAGCAGTGTTTAAATGAATACAGTTTCTATGTAATTATTTCGGGGGTAAGCTAGCTGGGATCCGGGTGGGAACACAGCCCACCATTCCTTTTTGCAATAGTCTTACTTTGTTTTTCCTTTTGGCTTTTTTCCTTCTTTCATTCTATGTAAATTTTCTGTCTATGCTTAACATTCATCATTTATAAGTTTTTGGGTAATTTTAAGAAAACTTCCCTGGAATTTTAAGCTACATGGGGCTACCAGTCCAGGGGTTTATCATTTTCAGTGGACTTAAAAAGGAATCTTAATAGTCTTTAATAGCAAGATGGAAGTGTTCATTTGAGACAGAAAAGAGAAAGAATAACTGGAAGAGAGAGTTAGGGGAAGGTGGGGGAGGGAGGATTATATCATGTAAATGCAATTTTACAGCCAAGCTTAAAACATGGCAATGGCTGGACTTGTAAGTTTTGCTAAACAATATACTTTTTAAAAGACAAGGTTTCATTGTGTTGTCCAAGATGGACTTGAAGTTATAATTTTCTGCTTCAGCCTTCCAACTTGATGAGAAAATAAGCATGTCCCATTGCCTTCACATTATTATCTAACCAGTTGGGTTTCGATTTCTGTTGCACAGTAGTTTTACTCTTAGATTAAAACCTACCAACTTGGAAGGAAGCTCATTAGGACCAGGATGTTGGAAAGGAAAGGGAACAACAGGATATTCTAAGGGGAGGTAACACACCCGATCCTGCAGGGAAGTGCCTTAAACTCAGGAAGGAAACAAACTCCAAGGCTTCATGAAGTTGCTGAGATTGCTATAGCAGAATCCCCTGTATGGCCAAGCATGTGTAAGTTGAAACACCTGTTGAGAGAAACTCTTAAACAAGCTGAGCTGCCTGGAAGATGTCAGCTCAAATCAATCAAACTATCTAGAAACACCATTCTTCAGCCCATGGAGACTTCTGAAGGTTATGCTGTATGCTCCAGGCTTCCAGGTTTCTTCACCTGTCATTCATGCCGTGGTAGGCACTTGTTCATGCGGTTGTCCTTGAGTTATTTTTGCACCTGTAAGGAATTCCTCACCAATAACACCAATAAAACTCATTGTCTCACCAAGTTGGACTATGGGGATATCCATACTTTTAGTTGCTGTTATTTCTCTATCTTGGATGCATAGATTTGTGTCCACATATTCCTGGGTATAATGTCATACATCTTCCATCACTTGCAGCAAAGGTCGGTGAGATGATGCATGACCGTACCAGGCCATACTTTCATTTGAAAATCTGAGCAAACAGAAAATGCCATCTTAGAAACATGATTCCCTACCATCAGGCTATCACTTGAACATAACATTGTTTTGAGGATTATTTTTATATTATATTATATTTATTTATTTATTACTTTATTAAGATTTAATGTTGGAGAGCAGTTGTAATGAAGCAAGTGTAGCACTAGAAACGTTTTCAGCATGTGACAAGCTGGTGTCAAAAGTGAAGATAAACAGCTTCACAAGCAGCCAGGATTTTCAACATATTCCTCATTTTTCTAAACTAGATTGAAAGAAATTAATATAGGCAATGAAGAGATGATTTATCAATACGTGTGTGTGTGTGTGTGTGTTTGAGCTTTCTTTTTAATTTAAATTTATTTTTTAAAACCTATCTTCTCTTATTTTATATGACAAATCCAGTTCCTACTCCCTCCACTCCTCTTGCTCCCTTCACCTTTCCTCCATCCCCCCATCCCATCCCCATCCCACTCCTACCCACTTCACAAACAGGATAAGGCTTCACATGGGGAGTCAGCAAAGTCTATCACATTGCTTTGAGACAGGACCAAGGCACTCTCCACCACATCTAGACTGAGCAAGGTCTGCCTTCAGAAAGAACTGGTTCCAAAAAACCAGGACAAGCATTAGGGATAAATCCTGGTCTCACTGCCAGTGGCCCCACAGTTTGCTCCAGTCATACAACTGTGACCCACATTCAGAGGACCTAGTTTGGTCCTATGCTGGCTCCCTCACTGTCAGGCCAGAGTGGGTAGGCTTCCATTAGTTGGGTAAGCTGTTCCAGTGAATATCTTCACCATGGTCTTGACCCCTTTGCTTGTATTCTCACTCCCTTTCTTTGACTGGACTTTGGGAGCTCAGCCCACTGTTCCACTGTGGATCTCTGCATCCGCTTTCATCAGTTGCTGGATATAAGTTCTATGATGGCATTTAAGACAGTCATCAATATGATTACCTGTAGTGGCATGGGAGTTACAGGTGTAGTAATTTATAGCACATAGTATGGACATTGAGCTTTACGGCTAAGAACCATACAGGTTGAAAGTACTACGAAGGCTGATGGAGAAGAAATCATGATACACAGTATCAACCTTCAAAGCAAGATCTATTCACTGAGGCAATAGTGGCATTATTGTTATGGGAATATCCAACCTCTCTGTGATTGAGATTGAGCATTTAGGTCTGATCCTGTAAACATGATAAAAAGAATTCATGACCATGGATGTCATAGGCTCTAGGAGATTATGTAATACTTTTTTTCTAAATTGACAGATATATGACAAATATATAAATATGGTTTTACTCATAGACAAACATTACTTTTAGCTTTGGTCAGAGAAACTTGTCTTATTGGTGTATGAAGCAGGAAATTTTAAAGACAGATCTGCTTATATTGGCAGTTTACCAGTCACTTTCTTCTATATCCTGCAGAATATCTTGCAGACTCTTTCATAAGCATGAACCCCAATGGACATTCTCACCTTTAGGCAAATTCAGCAGTCATTTGTCTGTGAATCCTACATGTCCAGTTAAGCAGTCCAGGCAAGAACAGTTTCTTGTCCAGATGGCTAACCAATTCCATAAGGAGACTTCTTAATGCCCATCTTCCTCTTGAAGTAACTTGGTGCTGCCAGGTGTCTCATTGTCAAGAAAAGTACTAAGTTATTAAAACATTTTAAATGTCATAATCTGAAGGTCTCTAAAAGATTTGAAGAATACTTATCTAACTGAAATATATCTTTATACATCTAGAAAAATCTACTAACATAACTACAAGCTTGACTATTAAAAATGAATATCTATTAACTTACGTTTCTTAATTATACATTACATTTTTAAATGAGATACACAAACACAATACCTTAATCAAGATTAGAAATACATATACATATAACAAAATTGACCTTGAATTTGTATCAATAAACCAAGATTCATACCAATACAAATTATTCATATCTATATCATATCCCCATTTAAATGTAA